CCCCCAAGTCATTATGAAACCACGTTTAACCAGGCTTACAGACATGCTATCTTATTACATTACAAATATTTATTAAAAAGTATTTGCGCTTTACATTTATGTCGGGGCATAGCCTACTCCCTTGAATTCCTCAAGATATTAACAAATTGGTGTTGTAAAACCTTCTGGAGATGCACAGAACTTTGGGATACAACAGTGAACTAGTGCCAAAATGGACAAGAATCATCAGAAATAGCAATTATGTTTTTCTTAAAAGTAAAAAAAAAACAAAAAACTGGTGTATCTAATGTTTCCCAAAAATGCAAAACAATCTTACAAAATGTAAACCAACATTCAACACACAAATGTGATCAATATCGAAACGTATTACTGCTAAACAAATAATATTCATTTCTCGTTACACTTCAAACAGTGAAAGATCAGTGGCTTTCTGTGGCTGGAGCTGACAAAGGACCTTAGTGAAAACTGTAGAGAATATAATCAGGTCATAAGTGTTAAGAGATGTGGTCCTGAACAAGGTGCTGCATTAGAGTATTTAATGCGTGTTATATCTTTCCCTGATAAGAGCACTAGTTTTTCTCTCTGTATTCACAGCCGGTGTGCTATAATATCTTGTATAGTAAGTTAAAACAGTGCTGAGTTAGCCAGCCTGGCACTGTGTCTTTACTACCCATAATTCATTGAGGCCATTAAACAGCCTGAACTATTTTAAATACACCTGCATTATATTACCATTTACAAAATATGTACACTTCCAGTTCTGTCCAGTAGAAGGTTTTAAAACGATAGTCAAAACACCTACTTTGTACAAAAGAGTTAAAAAAAAAAATGTTTAAGATTATTTAAAAAATGTTTGCAACAGTAACAGACTAAAAACCAAATTAAAAAGGGCATTTTTTTCAGGAAAGTGAAGCAGAAAAAAAAAACTAAATTGCTCATAAAACCATTCTTCCACAAATTGTCGGCGTATAATAATGAATTGTTCGTAAAAATAACACGCTTGCATGAACTGTTGAATGCAATGCAAACAGTTCATGTAAGCATGAAAAAAATTCTTATGGATTTGCTCACATTATATCTATATATATATATATATATATTTAGGTCAGTCTTTCATAATAAAAAAAGTATGCTTTTTTTTTTACATTCAATATGTGAATTATTCTTCAAATTGTTTTTGCGTAAATCATGCAGGTAACGCATGGACTGTTCGTAAAACCATAGGTCTAGGTAAACTGTCGCAATCACTAAAATTTTCTTTAAAAAAAACCCAAACTTTTTGCGTTAATGGTCACATTCAATGCATCAATCATTCATAAAACCATACAGCAACTTTCACCATCAATGTCCAAAACAATGGTTTTATGCATTGTACAATTTATACATAAAGTCACTCTGTGCGTCACGATTAAGGCCCAGCTTTCACAGTTGAATCCAAAATCTCCCATAATGCACCATGCCAGACTGCGCCACATGACCGTTCCAAAGGTGCGACCTGGCATCAGACATCCCTTTGTCATACTTGCTCATGCACATTCAGACCTGACTATGAATCACACCCCTGACCAAATCTTTTTAAATCTTCTTCAGGCAACAAGTGATACTGCGATTAGATTCAGACTGTCCCTATGCCATCATAATGGAGTGTTGAGAAAAGTGGGCAGGATTCATTCGGATTAATTCAGATTGAAATATGATTCATAGGCAAGCCTAATGGTCAGGAGTCAATGAAAACGTCTGTATCTAGTGCTCATGACCAGTCATTGTCTGACTTTTTTGACCTTGAAAGCACTAAAAGCAACTGGACCAGAGAGGCAGCGTTTCCTAAAAATGACATTGGATTAATACCTTACATTTCTGAAGTACAATGGAGGCAGACTGATTAAACAGCCACTCATTGAACCCTCATTTAGGGTGCTTAAGATAGATAAATGCATAAACTACATCTACCAGCATCCTTTGCTTCAAACTGGGTTTTGATGTTTATGCATCCTCGAACTCACTGCCTGTGTACACAGTGCAGAGACCCAGATGAATGACATTTATTCATTCGGTTTAATCCAGTCAAAGGATCATGGCCTCTTGAAACGCCTCAATCCATCTGAAAAAAGCAGCATAGATTTCATCTGAAGCAATGAATCACAGATTAGATTAATAGAACAAACTCTATACAACTCGGTATACAACAAAGTGCTTGTGTACCTCTGAGCAGTGGGAATGTCCTCTGCTCTGAAGATGTAGTAGAATGTGTTTTTATGGTACAGTTTAAACTGCAGTTTTTGAGCCGGTCCCGTCTTCTCCTCTCGGAGGAAAAAGCCCAGCAGCGGCTGACTCTCCAAAGCTGCAACATCCTGAAAACCATGCAATCGTCATCACATGACAGCTTTTATGACGTCACACACATCTGAAACGCAGTGTAGGGGAACAACTGACTAAACTAGTGACGCTACTAACGCAATTAAAGATTTCAGTATTGCAAAAATGTATTGTTTTCATAATAATAGTTTTTCTGATAACAAGCAACTTTTTCCCAAAAAGAATCCTGTCGCTTTACAAAAAGAAAATCATTCAAAGGTCATCTCAAAACTGTCCGAGCTGATTGTGTTTTAGGAAAGGAATGTGAAATGTTTAGTCATTTATCGTGATGTTGGTTTCTTGTACAGTAACATAGTTTTGCTGCTAACCATGAGAAGATTCTAGGTTTGCGCACATCGATTAGAAACCTTTTAGTTTTACTATGAAGTGTGACTTTACATGTTCAGATTGGATGCTGAAATCTTGATTATTTGTGTATGATTTTTGTCATTTTAGCATGACAAAGCGTTACATTGTTGATTTTTGTCACATTGTAAAACCGTTCTTAAGTATTTGTTGTAAAATCTAAATCATAACATAAAATAGCTAAATCTGAGTGTAGCATTGAGCATTTTGATTCATTTTAGTAAATCGCTAAAATGAGACCGAGACTAAACAAAAGTCCCTATGTGGCATTGTACCTCTTTGTTTTTGTAGTGATATACTGACAACTGGCAACATTTAAAAGGTACAATATGTAAGATTTTCGTATTAAAATATCCAAAAACTACTTGCACAGTGTTATATATTTTATGCAGTTGTGTCTTTATGTTATGTTGTAAATCCAGAGAAATTCCGATTTTAAATAATGACTCGTCCCTGGTCATTGTCGCCGATCAATGATGTAATATCCGCAATATACCTGCTTGTAGAAACTATGGCTACACACAGACACAAATGCTGCTGTACAGTTAAACTACATCTATTACGGCTGTCGCGAATAAAATGCAAATGAAAAGTGTTGACCGCAGCATTAAATTTAGATCTGCTGAGTGTTGCGCCATGATACAGTGTTGCGCATTATAACCAATCACACACACGAGTCTGTTGAGTTTATGAACGCAGCGGCCAATCAGAGGCGCTCAGATGAGTTTTTGTTCAGTGCACGGCGCTCGCTGACTGGATTCAGCTCTCACACTAATTCTCTCATCATAAACAACAAAGCGCAGATGTACGTATGATGTAAGAGATTATTTCATAAAACCGTGTATAGACAGCTTTACTGATTATAAGGGGAGTTTTTTGAGAGTGCTTAAACTCGCGCTAGACTTAAGTCAGTCATAATGTTCTTTGACAGTATAAATGTTCTTTGCTTGCATTCTCTGTATAATTTATTCGCTGTTTGAATAACTATGGAAGGTACAGGTAATAAAAAATTTATTCATTACCTCATCCGTGAACATCCTCCTTCATAGCGTCATCAAACTTCGCCTTTATTATTGTTTTGAAAATGCGATCTCTAGTGGCGAAAACGTACATATTGTACCTTTAACAGAATGTTTACCGCTTAAAGTCTTTTTTGTTCATTTTATTAGTGCATGTATAGTTCTTGTGCAGATACTACTTTCATTGTAAAAAAATTATATAATGTAATAATGGTTATATAATTAAAAACGTATCCGCTTTAAATAGTTTCAATAGTACCTAGTAGTAAATCGGTAGAAAATAGTTAGCTCATTTTTATTAGTAGTGTAGCTTGGCCAATGACAAGTTACAAAGCTTCTCAAAACTGCCTGATCTTTTTAGGTAGCTTCAAAGTAATTTGCTGTTTAATAGTTTGTAGTGTAGTGTAACTACTTAGGGCCAGATTTACTAAAGACACGCAATAAAGAATTAGCGCTGAAAAGGTGTGGACCGTTATTTTTGCACCTGACCTTATTGAATATGCATTTGTAGGAGTTTCCCGTTCAGATGCAAAAATTTATGGGTGGAGAGTATTAAAATTAATCATGCAACGTGATTTAGTAACGTTTGCGCTCGTCAAATTACTGGTATTTGTGCCATTATTTAAAGCTCCAAAAAAGCATGTCTTAATGCAGATGCTAATTTGCGCTGCTCTTGGTAGATTGTGTTGGTGATTATGGAAATGCATTATGGCTGCGTCTGTGTTCTTTAATTTGCACGTTGCCAGTAAATCACCCGCAAAAATGTTCACTTCCATTAGCGCTTTTTTTGGAATTGTGCTCTCACTCTAATTTGCTCTGTTTAGTAAATCTGGCCCTTAGTCTTCAGTCAAGCTTCCACTGATAAATTATGAGTAGCTTCCTCAACACTAAAAGTTATTACACAAGTAAAGGATGCATACTTCACTAGCGGCGTAAGTGTAGAGGACTTTGTTCTTAATGACGAACCACAGCCTCTTCCATGGTTTCTTTTGGCCTTTGGATCTTTGCAGATATCCACTCATGGAGGAGTTCTCAGTGTTGGCAGACACCTGTGAGCGAGATGTCTGCAAAACAATCTTACAAAATGTAAACCAACATTCAACACACAAATGTGATCAATATCGAAACGTATTACTGCTAAACAAATAATATTCATTTCTCGTTACACTTCAAACAGTGAAAGATCAGTGGCTTTCTGTGGCTGGAGCTGACAAAGGACCTTAGTGAAAACTGTAGAGAATATAATCAGGTCATAAGTGTTAAGAGATGTGGTCCTGAACAAGGTGCTGCATTAGAGTATTTAATGCGTGTTATATCTTTCCCTGATAAGAGCACTAGTTTTTCTCTCTGTATTCACAGCCGGTGTGCTATAATATCTTGTATAGTAAGTTAAAACAGTGCTGAGTTAGCCAGCCTGGCACTGTGTCTTTACTACCCATAATTCATTGAGGCCATTAAACAGCCTGAACTATTTTAAATACACCTGCATTATATTACCATTTACAAAATATGTACACTTCCAGTTCTGTCCAGTAGAAGGTTTTAAAACGATAGTCAAAACACCTACTTTGTACAAAAGAGTTAAAAAAAAAAATGTTTAAGATTATTTAAAAAATGTTTGCAACAGTAACAGACTAAAAACCAAATTAAAAAGGGCATTTTTTTCAGGAAAGTGAAGCAGAAAAAAAAAACTAAATTGCTCATAAAACCATTCTTCCACAAATTGTCGGCGTATAATAATGAATTGTTCGTAAAAATAACACGCTTGCATGAACTGTTGAATGCAATGCAAACAGTTCATGTAAGCATGAAAAAAATTCTTATGGATTTGCTCACATTATATCTATATATATATATATATATATTTAGGTCAGTCTTTCATAATAAAAAAAGTATGCTTTTTTTTTTACATTCAATATGTGAATTATTCTTCAAATTGTTTTTGCGTAAATCATGCAGGTAACGCATGGACTGTTCGTAAAACCATAGGTCTAGGTAAACTGTCGCAATCACTAAAATTTTCTTTAAAAAAAACCCAAACTTTTTGCGTTAATGGTCACATTCAATGCATCAATCATTCATAAAACCATACAGCAACTTTCACCATCAATGTCCAAAACAATGGTTTTATGCATTGTACAATTTATACATAAAGTCACTCTGTGCGTCACGATTAAGGCCCAGCTTTCACAGTTGAATCCAAAATCTCCCATAATGCACCATGCCAGACTGCGCCACATGACCGTTCCAAAGGTGCGACCTGGCATCAGACATCCCTTTGTCATACTTGCTCATGCACATTCAGACCTGACTATGAATCACACCCCTGACCAAATCTTTTTAAATCTTCTTCAGGCAACAAGTGATACTGCGATTAGATTCAGACTGTCCCTATGCCATCATAATGGAGTGTTGAGAAAAGTGGGCAGGATTCATTCGGATTAATTCAGATTGAAATATGATTCATAGGCAAGCCTAATGGTCAGGAGTCAATGAAAACGTCTGTATCTAGTGCTCATGACCAGTCATTGTCTGACTTTTTTGACCTTGAAAGCACTAAAAGCAACTGGACCAGAGAGGCAGCGTTTCCTAAAAATGACATTGGATTAATACCTTACATTTCTGAAGTACAATGGAGGCAGACTGATTAAACAGCCACTCATTGAACCCTCATTTAGGGTGCTTAAGATAGATAAATGCATAAACTACATCTACCAGCATCCTTTGCTTCAAACTGGGTTTTGATGTTTATGCATCCTCGAACTCACTGCCTGTGTACACAGTGCAGAGACCCAGATGAATGACATTTATTCATTCGGTTTAATCCAGTCAAAGGATCATGGCCTCTTGAAACGCCTCAATCCATCTGAAAAAAGCAGCATAGATTTCATCTGAAGCAATGAATCACAGATTAGATTAATAGAACAAACTCTATACAACTCGGTATACAACAAAGTGCTTGTGTACCTCTGAGCAGTGGGAATGTCCTCTGCTCTGAAGATGTAGTAGAATGTGTTTTTATGGTACAGTTTAAACTGCAGTTTTTGAGCCGGTCCCGTCTTCTCCTCTCGGAGGAAAAAGCCCAGCAGCGGCTGACTCTCCAAAGCTGCAACATCCTGAAAACCATGCAATCGTCATCACATGACAGCTTTTATGACGTCACACACATCTGAAACGCAGTGTAGGGGAACAACTGACTAAACTAGTGACGCTACTAACGCAATTAAAGATTTCAGTATTGCAAAAATTTATTGTTTTCATAATAATAGTTTTTCTGATAACAAGCAACTTTTTCCCAAAAAGAATCCTGTCGCTTTACAAAAAGAAAATCATTCAAAGGTCATCTCAAAACTGTCCGAGCTGATTGTGTTTTAGGAAAGGAATGTGAAATGTTTAGTCATTTATCGTGATGTTGGTTTCTTGTACAGTAACATAGTTTTGCTGCTAACCATGAGAAGATTCTAGGTTTGCGCACATCGATTAGAAACCTTTTAGTTTTACTATGAAGTGTGACTTTACATGTTCAGATTGGATGCTGAAATCTTGATTATTTGTGTATGATTTTTGTCATTTTAGCATGACAAAGCGTTACATTGTTGATTTTTGTCACATTGTAAAACCGTTCTTAAGTATTTGTTGTAAAATCTAAATCATAACATAAAATAGCTAAATCTGAGTGTAGCATTGAGCATTTTGATTCATTTTAGTAAATCGCTAAAATGAGACCGAGACTAAACAAAAGTCCCTATGTGGCATTGTACCTCTTTGTTTTTGTAGTGATATACTGACAACTGGCAACATTTAAAAGGTACAATATGTAAGATTTTCGTATTAAAATATCCAAAAACTACTTGCACAGTGTTATATATTTTATGCAGTTGTGTCTTTATGTTATGTTGTAAATCCAGAGAAATTCCGATTTTAAATAATGACTCGTCCCTGGTCATTGTCGCCGATCAATGATGTAATATCCGCAATATACCTGCTTGTAGAAACTATGGCTACACACAGACACAAATGCTGCTGTACAGTTAAACTACATCTATTACGGCTGTCACAAATAAAATGAAATATAAACTGTTGACCCCAGCATTACATTTAAATCTGATCAATGTTGCGCCATGATTTTTTACGCATTTTTACAGTGTTGCGCATTATAACCAATCACACACGAGTCTGCTGAGCTTATGAATGCAATGGCCAATCAGAGGCGTTCAGATGAGTTTTTGTTCAGTGCACGCGCTTGTTGACTGAATTCAGCTCTGACGCAAATTCTCTCATCATAAACAACAAAGTGAAGATGTACCATTGTTTTGAAAATGCGATCTCTAGTGGCGAAAACGTACATATTGTACCTTTAACAGAATGTTTACCGCTTAAAGTCTTTTTTGTTCATTTTATTAGTGCATGTATAGTTCTTGTGCAGATACTACTTTCATTGTAAAAAAATTATATAATGTAATAATGGTTATATAATTAAAAACGTATCCGCTTTAAATAGTTTCAATAGTACCTAGTAGTAAATCGGTAGAAAATAGTTAGCTCATTTTTATTAGTAGTGTAGCTTGGCCAATGACAAGTTACAAAGCTTCTCAAAACTGCCTGATCTTTTTAGGTAGCTTCAAAGTAATTTGCTGTTTAATAGTTTGTAGTGTAGTGTAACTACTTAGGGCCAGATTTACTAAAGACACGCAATAAAGAATTAGCGCTGAAAAGGTGTGGACCGTTATTTTTGCACCTGACCTTATTGAATATGCATTTGTAGGAGTTTCCCGTTCAGATGCAAAATTTATGGGTGGAGAGTATTAAAATTAATCATGCAACGTGATTTAGTAACGTTTGCGCTCGTCAAATTACTGGTATTTGTGCCATTATTTAAAGCTCCAAAAAAGCATGTCTTAATGCAGATGCTAATTTGCGCTGCTCTTGGTAGATTGTGTTGGTGATTATGGAAATGCATTATGGCTGCGTCTGTGTTCTTTAATTTGCACGTTGCCAGTAAATCACCCGCAAAAATGTTCACTTCCATTAGCGCTTTTTTTGGAATTGTGCTCTCACTCTAATTTGCTCTGTTTAGTAAATCTGGCCCTTAGTCTTCAGTCAAGCTTCCACTGATAAATTATGAGTAGCTTCCTCAACACTAAAAGTTATTACACAAGTAAAGGATGCATACTTCACTAGCGGCGTAAGTGTAGAGGACTTTGTTCTTAATGACGAACCACAGCCTCTTCCATGGTTTCTTTTGGCCTTTGGATCTTTGCAGATATCCACTCATGGAGGAGTTCTCAGTGTTGGCAGACACCTGTGAGCGAGATGTCACTTTAATAGTAATGTATTCATTAGGGATGCACCGAAATGAAAATTCTTGGCCGAAGCCGAAACCGAACAAAATGAAACACTGGGCCCGAAGGCCGAATACCAAACACGGTTTTCAGCCAAAATGTGCTTTTTGCTGTTTTGTCTGTGTTTCAAAGAAAAAGTCAATTACAAAACAACAATTTAAAAATATTTAACACTAAACATTTTTTAACATTCTAGCAGACATTATTCCAACAAAGCACAATTTAACTTAAAATTAATAAGTTACTAAAATAATATTTTTTGACCATCAGACCCCCTTCTTGAATCAGGCATCTATTTTTTACTGTAAAATTAAAAGCAGCCTTGCTGAGCAGAAGAGCCTTCTTTTAAAACATTAGAAAATATTACAGATCTCAATTTGAACACTATGTTATAATTAGAGGTCGACCGATGTATCGGTTTTGCCGATTAATCGGCACCGATAGTTGATTGCTGGAACTATCGGTTATCGACAAAAATCCATGCCGATAGTTTTCCGGGTTGCGTCCGTTGCTGGAGCGGCTGAGAAGCTGCACTTTTATTTTGATTAGATAATCATCAAGTGTTCAAGAATAGAAGCAGTTAAAGTGTGAGAGTATACATACAATATCCATATATATATAATTTTAATGCTATAGCCTTTGTGTATATATTTAAAGATATGCATCTTTAAGCATGACAGTTGAAATTAAATGGTAACACTTTAAAATAAGATTCCATTTGTAGCTTTAAGATGAATGAAAGCTGTGTAAGTATTGAAGTATTGTTGAGTGTGTTAAATTCAACATTTACTATTACTATTATTTTTTTTACTACTACTACTAGTATGGTTAAGTACTTAAGTACTATCATAATGGAGTGTTTCAGAAAAGTGGGCAGGATTCATTCAGATTTAAATAAGATTCATAAGCAAACCTATTGGTCAGGAGTCAATGAAAACGTCTATATCTAGAGCTCATGACCAGTCATTGCCTGACGTTTTTGACCCTGAATGCTTTGTGGGCAGGATTCATGGTAATGTTAAGCACCAAAAGGAGCTGGCACAGAGAGGCAGTGTTTCCTAAAAATGACATTAAGAACAAAACGATGGATTAATGCCTCACAATGGAGGCAGACTGAATCAATTTACCTTCATTAGGCTGCTTAAAATAGATTAATGCATAAACTACATCTACCAGCATCCTTTGCTTCAAACTGGGTTTTGAGTTATGCATCTTTAAACTCACTGCCTGTGTAAACAGTTCAGAAACCCAAAGGAGCGACATTCATTCATTCCACTTAATCCAATCCAGACCAGTCAAAGGATCATGGCCTCTTGAAATGCTTCAATCCATCTGAAAAAAAAGCAGCACAGATTACGACTCTTAGACTAGATTCATAGAACAAACTCTATTCAACTCCATACAAGTGCTTCTGTACCTCTGAGCAGTGGGGATGTCCTCTGCTCTGAAGATGTAGTGGAGTGTGTTTTTATGGTACAGTTTAAACTGCATTTTCTGAGCCGGTCCCGTCTTCTCCTCTCGGAGGAAAAAGCCCAGCAGTGGCTGACTCTCCAATGCCGCAACATCCTGAAAACAACGCAATCATCATCACGTGAAAGCTTTTATTACGTCATACACATCTGCATACTCTCATGTCACTATGAATCAAAAAGCAGTGTAGGGGAACAATCGACTAAATCAGTGATGCTATTAACGTAATTACAGTTTTCAGTATTGCAAAAATAGCTGTTTACATAACAGTTTTTCTGATAACAAGCAACTTTTTTTCCAACAAATAATCCTGTAGCTTTGCAAAAAATAAGGTCATCTCAAAACTGTCCATGCTGATTGTATATGCTTTAGGAAAAGAATGTGACATGTTTAGTCATTTATCGCAATGTTTACGATGTTGGTTTCTTGTATGGTAGATAGTTTTGCTGCTAACCATGAGAGGATTCTAGTTTTGTGGACATCGATTAGGATCCTTTTAGTTTTACTATAAAGTGTGACTTTATATGTTCAAATTGGATGCTGAAATCTTGATTATTTGTGTATGATTTTTGGCTGTTTAACGTAACTCTTATAGTAACCAGCTATCTTTACTAACAAGTTGCAATGTAGCATGACAAAGAGCTACAATGTTGATTTTTGTCACATTGTAAAACAGTTTAAGTAATTATTGTGAAATCATTGTTACTTAAAATTTGAGTGTAAAAATTCATACATTTTTGGTATAAAACAGTGTAGTGTTGAGACATTTTGATTCATTTGAGTAAATTGAAACTGATTTCATAAATGAAGTGGTTAAAAAAACATTCATAGAGAATGAACAAAAGTCAGTGTGGAATTTTACATCTTTTTTTATAGTGATATACTGAAAATTGGCAAGATTTAACTGAATTATGTTTGCAGCTTGAAGTATATTTAAATAAATATACATTCATATTTCTTGTCCCAAACAGATACTGCTTTCATTGTAAAAAATTATATATATTCTGTTGGCGCCGATAGCCTTGTAGGCAGCGTGCCGACATACAGTGCCGTTGCGTGTAGTGTGTAGTTATTGTGTAGTGTACAGCTTGTATAACAGTGTAAATTTGCTGTACCCTTTTAGACATTAATGTCTAAACCGCTGGCCACAAAAGTGAGTACACCCCTAAGTGAAAATGTCCAAATTGGGCCCAAAGTGTCAATATTTTGTGTGGCCACCATTATTTCAGTGTGAGTAAAATGTTTTCAAAAATGTGAGGGGTGTACTCACTTCTGTGAAATACTGTATATCTGTTTTAATAGTAGCTAGTAGCAAATCGGTAGAAAATGTTTCAATAGTTGGCTACTTTTGGCGCTTTTCCACTGCATGAAACGGCTCACTTTTGGGGGGTTTTCCACTGTGTACAGCACCTGGTACTTTTTTTAGTACCACTTCGGCTGAGGTTCCAAGTGAGCCGTACTGTTACCAAAATGTGACGTGTAAATCCTGCTGATCACTGATTGGCCGGAGAAAATCATCACTACCTGCGTCATTGAACTTGCGACACGAGACACAACAGATCCGCTAGATTTAAATCAGCACAGCCAGCGAAGGATCGAACGCAACTTTTTTTTTTTTGAATGAACAACCGTTTTGAACGAGCGCACCTTTTTTTTTTTACAACCAAAAAATGGCTGTTTCGTGGTCTGTTGAGGAAGTACAGACGTTCCTCTTGTTGATAGCCGAGAAGTGGATCCAGCGAGATCTTGATGGGGCGACGCGGAATGAAAAAGTTTTCAGGAGGTCACTCTGCTCTTGGCCACCCATTATGTGTTTAATCTCACCCACTCTAAAGCGGTACTAAACTGCAGTGGAAACACGAGCCGAGTCGTACCACTCAGTGGAAAATCACTTTTTGTCAACACCGGCTGTTGCGATTTGGGCGTCCCGAGTTTGAGTCCTAGCTCGCAGACATTTCCCGATCCCCCTAATTTTTGTTAGTAGTGTACCTTGGCCAACAATAGTAATACTGCCAAAAAGTATATCTTTTTAGGTAGCTTCAATGCAATTAGCTGTTTTTTAAAAAATAGTTCGTATTGTAGTGTAGTTACTTAGATAATCATCAGTCAAGCTTCTATTGATAAATTATGAGTAGCTTCCAGAACACTAAAAGTTATTACAAGTAATTAAGTAAAGGTTGCATACTTCACTAGCGGCGTAAGTGTAGAGGACTTTGTTCTTAATGACGAACCACAGCCTCTTCCATGGTTTCTTTTGGCCTTTGGATCTTTGCAGATATCCACTCATGGAGGAGTTCTCAGTGTTGGCAGACACCTGTGAGCGAGATGTCACTTTAATAGTAATGTATTCATTAGGGATGCACCGAAATGAAAATTCTTGGCCGAAGCCGAAACCGAACAAAATGAAACACTGGGCCCGAAGGCCGAATACCAAACACGGTTTTCAGCCAAAATGTGCTTTTTGCTGTTTTGTCTGTGTTTCAAAGAAAAAGTCAATTACAAAACAACAATTTAAAAATATTTAACACTAAACATTTTTTAACATTCTAGCAGACATTATTCCAACAAAGCACAATTTAACTTAAAATTAATAAGTTACTAAAATAATATTTTTTGACCATCAGACCCCCTTCTTGAATCAGGCATCTATTTTTTACTGTAAAATTAAAAGCAGCCTTGCTGAGCAGAAGAGCCTTCTTTTAAAACATTAGAAAATATTACAGATCTCAATTTGAACACTATGTTATAATTAGAGGTCGACCGATGTATCGGTTTTGCCGATTAATCGGCACCGATAGTTGATTGCTGGAACTATCGGTTATCGACAAAAATCCATGCCGATAGTTTTCCGGGTTGCGTCCGTTGCTGGAGCGGCTGAGAAGGGTCTGCGGTCATTACACAGTGCGAGAGCGGCCTCTAGTGGTTGAAATCACTGACCGCACGTGCTATTTGTTTAGACACATGCTATTTGTTTAGACACCTGATACTGCACGCTGAACAGAGCGTCCGGAGTGTGTGTGATACCAGTGAGTTCTCCTAGACTCAGCGCTGCACTTTTATTTTGATTAGATAATCATCAAGTGTTCAAGAATAGAAGCAGTTAAAGTGTGAGAGTATACATACAATATCCATATATATATAATTTTAATGCTATAGCCTTTGTGTATATATTTAAAGATATGCATCTTTAAGCATGACAGTTTAAATGAAATGGTAACACTTTAAAATAAGATTCCATTTGTAGCTTTAAGATGAATGAAAGCTGTGTAAGTATTGTTCCTTGTTAGAGTGTGTTAAATTCAACATTTACTATTACTATTATTTTTTTTACTACTACTACTAGTATGGTTAAGTACTGTTTTTGTTAATAAAGCACTTTTAGTTTTTGTTCAGTATCAATTTTAAAACTATCGGTTAATTAATCGGTATCGGCCAGTGTGGTCCAACCTAGCTATCGGTATTGGCAAAATCCACTATCTGTCGACCTCTATTTGCTACTGGAGACCTGGATGAAACGCTTTAAAGCTTAAGTCTATGGAAAACCATTGAAATTTTGAATGGCCATATCTCCGTAACAGCGAGGCAAATACGCACCGCGTCGATAGCCCCCAGGGTTTGGGAGTTAGGGGTGGATAAATTGCGGTCCGCGCCGACCGATCAAGCGATCCCGGAGGGCTACCGACACGCGGAGGGTGGCATTCGATAGGGCTCCTCGAGCTGAAGGGATCCCCCGAATTTGGTGGAGATCCACAGGCGCGTTCGCGAGATAGTGACACCAGTCAACACTTTCACTTCAGTAAGGAGGTCTCTTGTAGAGGTTGACCGATGTATCGGTTTTATCGGCACCGATAGTTGATTGCTGGAACTATCGGTTATCGACAAAAATCCATGCCGATAGTTTTCCGGGTTGCGTCCGTTGCTGGAGCGGCTGAGAAGGGTCTGCGGTCATTACACAGTGCGAGAGCGGCCTCTAGTGGTTGAAATCACTGACCGCACGTGCTATTTGTTTAGACACATGCTATTTGTTTAGACACCTGATACTGCACGCTGAACAGAGCGTCCGGAGTGTGTGTGATACCAGTGAGTTCTCCTAGACTCAGCGCTGCACTTTTATTTTGATTAGATAATCATCAAGTGTTCAAGAATAGAAGCAGTTAAAGTGTGAGAGTATACATACAATATCCATATATATATAATTTTAATGCTATAGCCTTTGTGTATATATTTAAAGATATGCATCTTTAAGCATGACAGTTGAAATTAAATGGTAACACTTTAAAATAAGATTCCATTTGTAGCTTTAAGATGAATGAAAGCTGTGTAAGTATTGTTCCTTGTTAGAGTGTGTTAAATTCAACATTTACTATTACTATTATTTTTTTTACTACTACTACTAGTATGGTTAAGTACTGTTTTTGTTAATAAAGCACTTTTAGTTTTTGTTCAGTATCAATTTTAAAACTATCGGTTAATTAATCGGTATCGGCCAGTGTGGTCCAACCTAGCTATCGGTATTGGCAAAATCCACTATCTGTCGACCTCTAGTTATAATAAATGTATTAACAGAGCTGTTGTAATTATTATCATTATTATTGTCGTACTTTTTATTTTATTTTAGAGAACAACAGTAAAATTACAATACTAACATTTATAAATGTTGATAAGAGTTCTTGCTTTTTCTCAACTTTTGTTTTGGCGGAAACGCGCAGGAAAACCTCAATGCTTCTTCTTTTTGTTGACAACAGCAGATTTATAAATGAGTCTCATTATGAATACGTCGCACGTATCGCATTGTCACATGCCTTGTAAAAATTTATAAAAATGTGACTGAGCACATCATACAGTAAATTTCAATAATCATACAGTAAACCAGCAACAATCACCCCTTCGTCTTCTCATCGAAGACATGCGATGCAGTACTAAACAGTCTCTTGCTGTCGGTGCTTGTAATGATTTTTGCGTCTTTCTCGGACAGTTTTAAATGCTTCCACACTGCTGACATGTTTGTTGCATTATAAAGAGTGCCCGCCTCTCACTTTACGCTGGTTGCTATTTGATAGCATCACGTCATTGTTCGGTACAATTTATTCTGTCTTTCCGCTTATTATATTAATTTCGGTTGCCAAACATTCGGTGCATCCCTAGTATTAATATGACATCAGCGTTGTGGTAGAAACAGTCACCTTCATTACAATGACATTACATAAAGTTGCGTAAATGCTGCATGCCATTGCATTATGGGTAATGTATAACTTCAAGTCACCTCTTTGAGGGCAGAAGGAATCTTCTTCTGTTTTCTAGAAAAAGCAAATGATGAACTCCGCCCACTAGGGGAAACGGACACACTGGATTGGTCGCCTAATACACAAAAGCAAAACAGCACATTAGAAAAAATACGTAGTATTTCCCTGTGCAACTACACAGCTAGTGTTGTGCTTTCTAATGTCAAATTCCGAAGTTTTCATATTATATTTTTACTACTGATAACTTTAATTTTAGTTAACAATAACAACACTGTTGCTATGTGGTTGCTAAGGTGTTCAAATGGTTTGGTTATGCGCTGTATTTGAATATGAGCATCATTAAAAACAAGCATGTCCAATAAAAAAAAAGCACTACTACGTGGGAATAAGAGAATATGAAATAAGAGAAGAAAAGTTGGGTTGACAGCAGAAATCTCGTACCCTTGTGCTGTAGTTTAATATAGCAGTGGTCACACACTCGTGCCAGCTGATTCTTCAGGTATTCTAGGTAGTATTTATTGGATGAACACGCCTGACACACCACCTGTTGCCACAACAAATGGAAATCAGACCTATTTTTCCATTCAAAAATAAAAAAAGGCCTGGAACTTCTCTTATTACCAACCTTCCCGCAGGCACGGCAGTGGTGGCGTCTCCAGGTGAGCGTGAACTCACACGTGCAGATCATACACATGGTCGTTCGCAAATCCGGAATCCAGATAGGAGCTTTAGAGCCCAGCGGTAGACCATCATCAGAGATTCCCTCCAACTACACAGGAAAAAAAAAAAAAAAAAGAGAGAGTGCATCTTTATGAGCTCCTTCAAAAAGTGTCTGAAATATTGTTCTGCAATTATCGGTTGCTTTTTTATTTGGAAGCTTTTTTTTTTTTTTGTATGAATGCCAAACAATTTATTCAGACATCTGAACTTTTCCCAGATATTTTCCACATATCGGATGGTGTGAATAGTTTGTGAATATCTGTTTATGTTGTTAAAGACTAAATTGTTCGAGTATCCATATTTTTCATAAAATTACAAAACACTTTGGCATCAGCCTGGCTGGGAATAGTTCTGGTACATTGTTTGTGAATAGTTTTATACTTTTATGTTCTTAGGTCAGTGTTTTAACAGTTTGAATGAACAATTCAATCAATTCAATTATATATTTATATATATACATATACATATATATATATATATATATATATATATATATAGTTGTTTTTCTTCTTTTTTTCCTGAGAATTAGAATTCTGATTATTTAGCATTGGACTTGAATTGACATGAATATTTCTGGTGGATGCTTAATGAATATTTTACACTTTTTGCACAGCTCTTAAAGCATTAAACTGGCATACATCAGTATTACTGCAAAAAGAAAAGTAGTTTTTTCATGTTTTCCAGTACAAATATCTAAACATTCTTAAATCAAAATACATTTATTTGAGATGCAAAACGAAAAATGTATTTTTTTGAATTAGGTTAAGGAATTTATCAGAATTTGTATTTTAAATTGCATTAGGTTGAATTCATACTTAAAACAAGAACCAATATCTCACAATATGGTAAGAAAAACTAAAGGGAAAACAATTTTAGTTTTCTCACCAAATTTGGCTGATATTGTTTTCTTACGCAAGACTTAAACAAGACTTTGTATTTTATGTCATTCTGCATCTCAAATAAATGTATGTTTAAAGAATTTTGTAATATTTACTCTGAAAAGAAGACAAAAATCAATTTTTGCAGTATACACATGTCCGTGAAGACCCTATAAATCTGATGAAAACACACAGAAAGATACACCTAAAATCAATCACACTTAAATGCACCCACCTCCTGGCTTCGACTGGAAAAGAAAGAAATCTTCTTTCTGGTGTAGTCATCTATTGCTTTAGTGATGGCTTCCAGCCATTCGTCTCTTTCTGTGGCTGAACTGCAAACATCATTTTACAGTCTGTGATTTCAATTTAATTAAACATAAGTACCAAAAACTGTTTTGGCACAAGTGATCAAAGGATCATTATCGTGTATAATTATTCTTTGCACTGCTGATATTTCTTTAATGTAGAGCCCACACACAAATCATTGCGGTTGTGTGTGTGTGTGTGTGTATTTCTTACTTGGCAGACAGTATGAAGGAGCGTTCCACACTCTCAATGTTTAACTCATTCTGATAGGCCTCCTGAGTTGGTTTGCTCACCTATTGAAGACGTGGGACACACACGACACGTTACAAATCTTGTGAGATTGTGTGTGTATGTAAGGAAGTATTATAATGGTGGATGTCTGACCTTCATGCCAGCCAGGGAAAGCATGCTGTTGACTTTATACTGGCCAGACTGAACGGGAGTTGTGTACAGCAGAATATCATTAAACTGTTGAGAGAAAGAACATTTACTGGCTGTCCGAAAATAGTGTTACACCATTCACAATTTCCTGCCATATGCAGCAATTTCCTGTATTGTAATTGACCGCATTACTGCACATTGTAATATTGGGTGTGTGGTTGCAGTTGTGCATACATTTACATTTTTTTTAGTTTTACTACCTCAAATGTTACTCATGCACTGAGATGTAAGAGTTGTAAATATCAATTTTCCAAGATATTAACCCTAACTAAAACTGTTAAAAACATTTGAGTTAACTTAAAGCTGAAAAACTAAATATAAATATTAGATAAAAACAAGTTAGCTATAAGTTTAAGCTGAAGTACTAAAATTACTAACTGGAAATAAATAACTAAAACTGAAATGAAAATAAATTAAACCTAAATAGCTATATTTAATAAAAGTTAACTACTAAAAATGACAAAAGCACAGAATTACTAAGGCTACGTCCACACGAAGCCAGAGCTTTCCCTATCCAATCTTTTTTTCCCCCTCGTCTCAAGAAATATCTGCGTCCACACGAAACCGACACAAAACAATGTAGTATAGTGAAGTGAAGTGGCCAAGTATGGTGACCCATACTTGGAATTAGTGCTCTGCATTTAACCCATCCAAAGTGCACACACACAGCAGTGAACACACACACACACCGTGAACACACACCCGGAGCAGTGGGCAGCCATTTATGCTGCGGCGCCCGGGGAGCAGTTGGGGGTTCGGTGCCTTGCTCAAGGGCACCTCAGTCGTGGTATTGAAGGTGGGAGAGAGCGCTGTACATTC